CGTGGGCAGCCACTGTCATTCAGACACAGTGACGTCGGATTCAAACGACTGTGATTCGTGTGTGTCACATGCACATGAGAGCATGCCGTGGCAATATGGCGAGTCCATTTTTAACGAGTGACATGGTATTCTAAGCAAACGTGACACAATGTACCGGGTGGTTCAGAGCACGCGCCGCTGTCGACGGGTTTGCCTACCCTGTCCGCACGTAAGGCGCCATAGCCCATAGAGTATGCAATCTCGCAACACCGCGGCGCGTGCTCTGAATCACCCGGTACATTAAATTGAATGTGCCGTTACAGTGTATATTGAAGAACAGAGAGTGAGTTAGTCTCTCTCTCTGTCTTTCTTTCTGCCTCTCTCGGACGCATTTCTCATCAAGGCAATCGCCATCGCCGGAAACAAGAGTTTTCTTGTTGAACAGACTGCTCCGGTGTGTGCGGTGCGTCGGGGCTGCCGATCGGGGTAGTAGACGTGCCCCGCCCTCTCCTTCTGTCATCACGGCCAGAGCCAATCTTTTCCGCCACTTTACCCCCCCCCCCCCTCCCTGGTCCTGAGAACTAAACTTTCCCGAAAGCGGTGCATCTGAGGATGCCCCGCAGGGGATGGCGGGTCTGCTAGTTTCGGGTCCAGTGCGACCGAGCAGGAGCGGCCAAAGAGGTAAAGTGCACAGGCCTGCTTGATGAAGCCCCTCCACACACACGGACTCCCCCCCCTCCCCTTTCCCTCTGCGACCTTTGGCCACTCAATCATCAGGGTACGCGTCTCCCTATAGGGGTGGGGGGGGGGGGGGGGGAATTTGCAGTGTAAAGTGGCCGACGAATAGGATTAAAAGTTGGTGGAATATGAATCCCCGCCACGATTCTATGTCCGAGTGCACTCGCCGAGGTCAAGCCTGCCCCCTGAGGGCCAGAGCACCGCGCGACCAGGGACCAAGGCCGCATTCAGGCGTGCGGGCGGGCTTGCCTACTCGCACGGGGCCATGAGGCGCCGTCGAGGGTCGCCCAACTGTGGTAATCAGGTATACACAGACTTGGTAATCACTGGTAATCCCTGGTAATCCTCACACTCGTGAGGGTCTTTTAAAAGGACAAATTTGTGGATTTAGACATGAATTTTTGTGCACATTTTGCCTAAATGACAACGCGCATGCTTAATATGGCTTCTTTGCATCCCTCCCATGGACAAAATCATGATTTGGCCAATCATAGAATGCAAATTTGTAACATGCATGACAAAGAATCAAGAACTACCAAAGAGTTGCACAAAAATGCATCTTTCTCAGAACAAAAAATGGACGTTTCGATTTAGAATGCAGGTGAATCATACCTAGCATACATAGGTAATCTTTATAATTTGGTAATCCGGTGTACACATTTTTATGCATTTAAAAAAAGTGCGATTTTGCATGCCCTGGGCTTGTCAACCCACTAAACCAAACCGGGGTGGACAAAATCCCCAACCCATAGGTTGTGCGGATTTACCGGCCCACGGGGCTTGCTGATTGACCTGCCCATGGGCAGGGTAAACGAATCCACACGCCCAACTAGTGCATTTCACACCTTGGGCGTGCGGAGTTCACGCGCTTGCCCCCGGGCGTTGGATTTTGCAAGATGGGCAGGTGAACATGGGTTGCCAAGCCCATGGGCAGGGAAAACGAAAAACCCTGGGCAAAGAAATTTCTTAAGCCGGATATTCCCGTTCCGGACTTCTCACTCCCTCCCACCGAACGTTCACTTCGAGGGGGTTTTATCTCGGCATTTTCGTGTACAGACTACTCCGTATTACGCGTATTACGCTTATTACAAGGTATTACCGGGTATTACAGAGTATTACCAGGTATTACAGGGTATTACCAGGTATTACAGGGTATTACAAGGTATTACAGGGTATTACAGGGTATTACAAGGTATTACACAGTATTACACAGTATTACAAAGTATTACACAGTACTACGGGGTATTACACAGTATTACTCTGTATTACACGGTATTACGCGGGTATTACACGGTATTACTGGCATCGTGTACAGGGTATTACGCAAGGTAAAACCCCCTCGGTTCACTTTTAACAGATTATTAACGCACATTAAATCTAATTCTTTTACCTTTGCTGTTATCTGGACTCGAACCTCCGAACTCCATGGAGTTAGGCACCCCTCGGGCGCCGTGTTGAGAACCTCGTGGTACGAAGGCGGTAGTCAAGCACGCCCGCACGACTGCATGCGGTACATACAATGTAAGCAAAATAAAGAAAGGGTTCTGTGGACCACCCTCTGTACTTGACATCAAGTTCATTTTCTTGAAACCAGAGCACGCACTCGAGCAAACTGGCACTTGTTTCAATAAATGCCACAGATTTCAAGCGCCCCTTTTTGGGGTGTTGCTGATCAGCATCAATAGCATTTGGTGTTCCAGGCCGTGCTCTAGCCACTCTGACCACTGCTGAAACACTGCTAGTGTGTGCAGCGACGGTGAGCCACCGTGGCCACCGTGCTTCACAAAGTTCCCCCCCC